CCCCAAAACCCCAAAACCCCAAAACCCCAAAACCCCATTAAGAATTTAACATTTTGAATTAAGTATGAACCCAACTCATTAGGATGTTTTTCAAATCAATTTTGGCCTTGTACTCTCTTTTGAGGTCGTAATAGTTCTTAACCATCTTCTCTTTCTGCAGCTTCAAGTCACTCATTGTCTTGTAGAACAAACTTGGAGAGATATCTTCACTGTTAGCTACAAATTTTAGGCTCCACTTTAAGTATAAAAACGTAATAACCGCTTTCACAAGTGCATAATCTCCTTGAACGATACATTGATCTAGTATCACAGAAATGAGCTCTATCGGTAGCTCACATGTCAAGAAGGATACTCTCAGCTGATTGACATACCCATAGATTTCGATTCCGCTTTTAGCTAGCCTATGCTTTACCTTATTGCCCCATGCTTTGAACTCTTTTTCTAATTTGTTTACTATAAAATCTGTGTCTGAATCTGCTACAGATTTTGACTTGACCACGTTCATCTTCAGGGTGTTCTTCTGAATCGTGTTGAAAATGTCCTCTTCCTCTAGCCTACATAACTGCAAGGTTGCCACTATATGTAAAGGTCAGGAGACCTAGAAATGCTAGAGAAGACATAATGGTTATGGATTCAGGGGTTTTGAAGGGATTTTAGGACTTACTGTTCTTTAGAAGAAAAGACGAGAAACATGCGTAGCAACTAGAGTCTGAAGGGAGATGGAGAGTGAAGTATAAGCAGAGCTTAACTACTCCATGACCACTGAAATGGATGTCTTTCCTTTGGATCTCATAGAAAATTCCCATCATTTTAGTGATTCTTTTGATAAGACCTTCAGACTTCACTTTGTAATGCCGAAGGGATTGCTTGAACTCATCAACAACTAGTTTAGAAGCTTGCTTGTACTTTTCAAATCTCTTCTTTTTAGGGTTATATTTTGATTCCAAAAATTCGTAATAATCCTTGGAACAAGTTGCCTACACACCTCAACTAAACTACTTTACCTGGCCAGCCAACATGAGAGGCAGGACTACAGTCCTGACCTTGCAAGGAAACCCGTACATCAGGATCTGGCTGATCCTGAGCTTCTCGTTCTTAGTGACTGGGGACTCCTTGACCTCTTCTAAAAGGTCCTCTTCAGGGCAGACATCGTATGTGAGCTTGAGCTTAGCTACAGAAATGTTAGGAGGCGTCTTAGGGAGTTTAGAGAAGAGTTTTGGGGATAATTATGGGGATATAGGGGAGAGACACAAGGATAGGAGAGAGATAAGTACCATCGTTGATAATTTGGAGGGAACCTGTGGAAGTGTCGAAGTATTGAGGCCAGTTAGGCAGAATCTCTTCTTCCCATAAATTTTGTTTGTCCCAGTCGTAGCAAGGGTCGTAAAGGGTCTTTTCAATGTCGGGGAACACTCTACTGATGTTATTAATGTTTTTCTCAGCTATCGATTTGAGTCTGGAATACCATAGTTGTATATCCCTCTCATTTGTGCCTATATATGAGTTGTTCTATGTACCATAGAAATCATAAGTTCTTTTATCGGTTTCGATTGAGAAACAAAGCCTTTGGTTCTCAATAAAGTCTTTAATTTTGTTGCTACAAATCTCATAAATATCCTCTTTGGACATATTCATCACTGGGGTGAATCCAATCTCTACATTGTAGATGTCTCTTAGTTTGATGGAATTAAAGCTCCTGCTACCAGGATTGAACCAGCAGAACCGTTGATTCTTTTCGTCAATACAAATCTCTTTCTGTTTGATCTTCTTAGTTTTTAACTGAATCTTGTACACAAGAGTCTTAGATTCAAAGAACTCATCTCCCTTAGTAAATTCTTTTGGGAGAATCTTGTGAACATTCCTCATGAAATTTATATTGTCTTCATAAAGTTGAATCCCATCAACGCTAATAATGATAGAAGATAGATCCTGAATAAACCTATCTTCCTTAATCTCTTCGTAATAAGCCCTAGCTTGGGTAAGAGACATAAACCCCTTGCCATGCTCTTCAGCATAAGAAAGATATTGCTCAAGAGAGATACCTCTTGATCTGGACTTGTTCTTCTTATCAGCGATAATAAAGAAGGTACTACAGAGCATGAACATTAGATCTTCAGAGGAAACTCCCTTGCTGCTATTCTGCTCAGCATACTCAGCTCAAAACTTCTCATAGAACTCTGACTTCTTCTCAGAGTCTACTGGAGGTGAAACTTTTGTATGGATCGTGAGTAAGAACTCCTTCATGGATAGATCTTCAAAATTAAACAAAGAATAGAATCATTCTCTGACTTCAAGAGCAAACTCATCTTTCAGTTCAAAAAGATACTTAGACTTTTGCATCAGCCTGATAGGCTGGGTGTACAGGAATTTTGCAAAATGATTCGCACCATAGTTGATAATCTTCGCTTGGATGAGCATGTCTTGGGATCTTCTGGGGGAAACAGCAAATTCAGAGCATGCGTTTGTCAAGACTTCAGAAATTTCTGGATCGACTCCCATAGCTTCCATAACATCACCACCACGAGTAATGTTGCTACCTCTGCTCTTTTGCTCCTCAAGGATTGAGACTTGGTAAATCTTGTCAATAGGGTACTCATATTTCCTCTTGGCTATCAGAACTGTGTCAGAATTGATGTCTTCCACTAATCTTTCGAGGCAGTCATCACCTTCAGTTTGGGAAGATTTCTGACTGATAACTACATCAGATTTCTTCTTTTTGTCACTCTGAACTGAGCGGGTTTGATCAAAAGCCTTGCTGATAGTATCTACTCCTACCTAAACGATTGAGATATGGTAAGTCATACCTTATCTAAGAACATGACGTTATTTCCATCACAACTACTCTCGCTCTCCTCGGAAGGGACTCTAACTGTGCCCTTAAAGAGCTCTCATGGCTCAAGATCTTTTCGATCTTTCCTGTGATTCTTATGCTTCCGTTCATCATGATTCTGGATTTCTCTAAAAGGCGATTCGTGCATGACTGGCTTGCCGAACTTATAAGGTCCTATATCAGTCAGGAAGGACGAAGACATACTATTTTCCTCGGGAATAGAGTCCATTTAACGTTAAATTAGTTTAAATTACTTCAAAAATAAGAAAATAAACGGGGTTTTGGGGTTTTGGGGTTTTGGGG